ATGACATCGAAAGTAAACTTACGCTCAGTGAGGCCCCTGATCTGCAGACATCTGGATAAGGTAATTCAGTGGCGTGTCACACTTGTCATTTCTTTCTGCAAAACCTTCCGCTAGGGATAGTTTCCAATAATTCTACTGGATATGCTGGGGAATCTCAGAAAAATAGGAGACAACTGATTCTTTGCCAAAGATGAGCGTAATGTGTTATTAACAAAGCTGTACTGCTGAAGGGAAGCAAGTCGCTAAAACCAGAGAAAGCAAATAAAATTAAATACTAAATTGTGTAATTTCTTTGAGAAGTACTGGAGTGTTCTGAGAACAAAAGTAGCAAAACACAATTTATATGTCAGAGAATTGTGGGGAAAGACCGAATGAAGTGGGTCATGGGAAGATGTGGGTTAGATTTAGAGAATGGAGTGGGAGTTGGAAATCAGTTTGCACCAAGATGAAGAGGGAGGAAGGAGCTGGGCATGGGACAGAAGAAGGAGGGGAAATGAGCATCAATCTACCCCCACATCACCCCCGTTCCTGCTCTCCCCTGGAACTGTAGACTCGCCTGAGCATTTTGTGGAATAGGCAGAGCAGAGTACCTCATCTGTGATCCATTCCCAGAGATTCTGATGCTATTGGCCTGAAGTGGGGTATGGTCTGGGCATGGGTCTTATGACAAAGCCTCCCCAGTGTTTCCAAAGTGGCAGTCACAATGGAGACCTCTGATGAGGGGCGGTTGACAGGTTAGAGCCTCACGAACAGTGCATGCTTTTGCATAACCATTTTCATGTCTTCTATCTACAGGCCTGCATCACTCAATTCTGTGGAAGAAGCGGAGTCATAGATGGTATGATCTTTTTCACCTTGGATTCTCTGAAAATTGCCGATGGATACATGCCTCAGCAATCCGATGTTGTCAGTGTGGTCATGGTGAAGAACATGAAGTCATGCTATGGTTGGAGAGCACTGGCTCTGACCCTCGTGGAAAGGCATGGATAAGAAAATGGGACTGTTAGTCTATGTGTAGCATTTCCCCTAAGCAATAAAGAGCCTGGTTTAAACACGTTAAATGCCCTGCATCTCCATCCATATTATTGCAGTACTGCATGTCTCCCAGCACTTTTCTCTGCTGCTTTTAATCATCCCTGCCTCCTCCGTTTTTGCTGACTTCCTTATTAGTGTGTATTGCCTTCCCTTGATCCAAGTGAACTGTATCCAGTAACTTTCTTTCCCACCTGTAGTAAACACCAAAGAATGTTTTCCTGTTGTTTTCATGTGAAAGCGTTTTCTTGACTTTGTAGTGGACTCATTCAATATTTTCCCTCTTATGATTGACTTACTTTACTAAGCACAATGTCCTCTAGGCACATTCCTGCTATGAGATGTTTCACAGATTCATCCTTATCCTCGAATGCTGCATAGAATGCCACTGTGTAAAGGTACCATAGTTTGTTTATCCATCATTTAACACGTGGGGACTTGGGTGGTTTCCAGCTCTTTTCTATTGTGACTC